GGCAGGGGTAAGACCCTGCTCCCCCAACTCAACATCACTACGTAAATGGCCACCGTGTGAGCAGATCGGCTGGTGATTTTCGAAGTCTTCAACGCTTGTAGAAGCTTTCCCTGTCTGATGACCCTTGTGGAAGAACCTTTGTATTATTTGAAATCATAGGTCTAGCGTTTAGAGTAGACTAGACTCCCGAGTGACAAGCACCTAAGGAAGGCTACCCTGACCTGCTCTGATGCCCAGAGGCGACCGGCCAGTGAAATGTTAGCTTTGGCATCCGCTTTACGTGAAAGAGTTCGCCCCTTTTAGCACAACTCTGAATATGGAAAGACGATATTGATATTTTTAAATGAACGATATTTTATGATGCAAAGCAAGAGAAACAGCGTTCAAGTCAGAACCTAACTATGCGCCTAACCTTTAATGTTGCTCAAGAGTCTTCGTCAACCACGCGCCTGCCGCAAACAGCATTTACCGCTTCAATTTGGCGCTTCCCATCTTCACTCACGCCGATATCGTAGTTGAAAACGCAATCAGCAACAATTTTCCCGACGCCTTGCTCGATTGCCTCAACCTTAGCGAAGTGAGAAACGTAGCCGGTAAGGCCTTCCTTATCACCTGGAACCACAGTGACTCGTTTTTCAGTCACGTAAATGCCACTCAATTTTTTCCTATTTTCCATGAATCCGTCAATCCATTCATCAGCAGTAAGCCTCTGGCCATTGATGCTAGATGCGGCTGGTAGTCAGTAACGATTCATTAACACTCTGTGGTACAGAGCAGACGTACGTGAAAACAAAATTGTCACTCATGTACTCCCGAATAGCAGTCCTGACGACGGCAGTGCTTTCCTGAATAATGATCCCATTGTAAGCGTCATCTGCGAATGACCTGAGCTCGTCTGTCGGCCCGACAATCGGGGCAAATACGGTTCCAGCACTCGCCAGAGGCTTCTTGTGATGGTGCTTTGTGCCGTTAACTTTCGACATGTTGTATAAAGTGTTAAAGATCTTAAAATCTGAAGTTTGAGTTGCCGCTTGTTGAATTAGGGTCTAAATTTATACAGCCGTGAACTCTCTTGTATATATATTCATTTCATACCCGAACGCTCGTCTGGACTTAATTCTGACTAGGGTTTATAAATAGGATTGTGGCTCGAACGATTACCTGGCTAGCAACACACACATCTAAATAATGTCTTCAATGTAAGCTTGAGGCGTGATCATTTGATGCTCTTGACGCCGAGTTTATTGCTTTTGGAGTGGCGTGCCCCTTACGAGCGTCTCGGACTGCAAAATAGTACACACCGAGGCACTACGCAAGGATTTCTTACGATCCCCCGTTGAGCCCTACAAGTCACGCGGAGGCCATGTAAGCTGATGATTACCAGGGCTTCCCTCCTCAGCCATGAGCCAAGAAAGGATTTCCATCCTTTGACTTCGTAAGAGTCTCTATTAGGACATATTCCTGTTAATTCGGACTTCCTGAACCCCGAACAAAGGGATCACAGCGACTCACATATCGGCTTTCATCGGCACAACGACAAAAACAAGATCGGAAACAGATAATTTCACAACCTAGTCATTATAGTCAGCACCGGAAATTTATGTTACACATAGAGCATCCCAAAAGAAATAGATTTAAGCCCTCGACGTATCTCTAGTTACTCCTTCTTCTCAACTCTATCATTTCCATACACACCTCCGTGAGGATTCGGCTCCCTAGCTCAGCTTATTAGAGACCCCTTGCCATTTCAAAAGCGTCGAGGCAGGGTAGCCTCTTGGGAGTTCATCACGCAGATACATTATATGCCTGTGCCACTATAGGTTAAGAAATGAAACCGGTTATAAACTTAGCTAGCTGCAGTCACTCGTCTCGGGGAATACTACTTACAAGGAAAAGGACGGAGAAGACTTTACGAACGTTTAATCTACGAACTTTTCAGACAATGGGATGAAGAAAACATTGCCTAGACGAGTAGTAAGATTCAATGCGTAAGTGATCACGCAAATCTCAGCATAGCGAAGAATCACATCATTGTTTCTACCTGGGTGACGGCTCGAGCATCAGCTCTACTAAACAGCTATGCTGGTTGTTCTGACAAGCTTATCGTGGCCATTCACGATCACACTCTCCAGGTATGGCGTAGCTATTGCATCGACTGCAGATTTTAGCCGAGCTACAATGTCGTAAATCTCTGCCTCTGTCACAATGAATGGTGGGCAGATGACGACAGAATCCACTTTCCAAGTCCCAGGGAAACCCATGTTACGCAAAACCTGGAGCCCATAGCTCTCCAGCGCTTCTTCGACGACTCTTCCTGAGAAATCGTCGTCTTGCGCGAAGGGGGTACGTGTGCTAGGGTCCAGCATGAACTCAACTGCCCAGAAGAGGCCCCGACCACGGATATTCCCCACCAAAGAGTGATTCCCAAGGTTTGCACGAAGTAACTTCTCAAGTAAGATACCCATCCTTTGGACATTGGCATAGAGGTTATCGCGAGCGATGATACGCTGAACAGCTAGAGCCGCTGAGCAGGCAGTAGGGTGTGTCTGTAGTTCCTCTCGGTATTAATTGTTTGCCCTTTGTTCATAGAATGAAGTGGATCGATATCATATGACAAGCTTACTTGAAACGTATGTCCACCTGCCAGCGCTCCGGACGGTGTTGCCACAGCATCAAAAATCTTTTGGTGCACGAGGACGCCCGAAATAGGAATGAAGCCGCCTCCGAGCGACTTTCCAATCATTTGCACATCTGGGCCTCGGATGCCTTCCTGTTGCCAAGCATGCAAAGTTCCTGTTCGACCCATACCACACATTACCTAGTAACCCATCAACTAAGCATATTCCCACTGATCACAAGTGACTCTGAACATTTTCCAAAAACAATTCTCACCTCATCAAGAACAAGGAGTATGTCGTATCTGTCGCATACTGCTCGTACAGCTTGGAAGTACCCTTTGACGGCTGGCACACACGCTAGCGTCGAACCGGATACAGTCTCAGCAATGAAAGCGGCAACTGTATCGGGGCCGAGACGCCGAATCTCATTCTCTAGCTGACAGACGAGTCTTTTAACATACTCGTCGTCGGATTCCCTGTCAACCTTGCCGCGATACCCACAACACGCATCGACAAAAGAGACATTATGCGAGAGCCATTGTTTGTACATTGTGCGTCTTCCCTCGTGCCCAGATACAGAGAGCGCACCTAACGTGTTACCATGGTAGCTTTGCTTGCGCGCAATATAGTTCGCCCTTTGGGGTTGCCCACGGGCATGCCAGTATTGAGTGACAAGTTTCAGTACAGCATCGGTTGCTTCACTTCCAGATCCTAGGAAGATTGCTTTGCTGAGCCCTCCGGGATGGCCTTTGAGAATGTGGGCTGCCAACTGTTCTGTCGTGTCTTCTCTGTATCCTCCACCGGAGAACAGATAGCCCACCTTTTGCAACTGAGCACTCACTGCCTCAGCTACTTCGGGAACATTATGGCCAAGGCAAGCCACGGCAGGGCCTCCAGTAGCATCGATGATAGTTCGGCCATCATCCAAGGTCACTGTGAGCCCCGTTTGAGAGACGACCTTCAATGGCTTTCGTTCAAAGGATCGGTGGAAGATATGGGAATCATGGAAAAACTGGTCGAGGGCCATCCTTTCGATGACTCGTTGCCATAACTAGGCGCTGTATGCGTGCTCACGTACGTCCAAAGTGTTTCGAGAGATTGTTCTCTTGCAGGCCGCTTCGCACTAAGTAATATGCTCCTTCTTCATGTCTCCTACTTCATCATTGAGCCTGGAATCAGCAGTTCCGGGGATGCATTAGCCGCCAGAGCCGCCGAAGATACCAATCATGACCCAATTAGTCATTTTTATCATATTAAGAATTGAAGTCGAATCTATGAAACAATCTCCATTGGCCAAGTGCTCTGTGCTATCACCACAAGAAGCCCTGCTAGGCTCCGATTGTGTTATCTATGTCATTGGAGAACACTAACATTCGTAGCTCCAATTTGTGTGAAGGCTGATAAGCAAAAAAGGGGCTCCTTGCTGTCTCCTTACTCGCCACGAAGCGCGCTACTAATCGACCTAAGTGAAACTCTGACATTGCATCTCACGAAATACGGAGTTATCCGCCGGGCTAACGTCCTGGCCACGATACGAAAACCCGCGCCGCAGCCGCCGAACGTCCGTGCTTCAATTGCACCGTTTTCAATTGCAGCACAAGAGACCGGGATTTGGCTAAGAGCTTGGCGAAGCCGTTGTCCAAATACTCATCAGATCTTGCATTGAGCTCCGACGTTATCATGCGGATCATGATTAGAATGTCCCTTATCTAGGAACGTCGTCTTTGTTCGCGCAAGGGCCAAGATTGAGCCATTATCCCCAAAAGATAACTCTGGCAAGGGCCATTGGTGGTCTATCATAAGTCGAAGAAGTGGAGGATACAGACGATATTGGTCTCTAAGATTTTCTCCCAGAATATGGTTCGATCGACAATCACACTATATATACGAGGGTGTAGCCTTTGTCTCATTTCCAACTTTCGCTAACGAGCACTCCTTAACAAGTCGGCAATATGTCGTCCCTAGTTCATCGTGCCAGCTCCGAGCATCAAGCAGCATCGCTCCCACCGAAAGAGACAATCGACATTTCTGCCGATAGTGATGTTGCCGTCGTCCTGGCCAACGAGCCATGGGTAGAGGATCACACCCAACGAAAGCTCAGGCCGCGACATATTCAACTGATTGGTATCGCGGGAACTATTGGCACAGCGTAAGCTCAGTCGGACACAGACTTCTAGAGGGTTGCTGATTCAATTAATAGATTATTTGTCAACATCGGACGCGGTTTGATCTCTGGCGGCCCAGGGAGTCTCTTTCTCGCATATTCATTATGGTATATAAACCTTTCTGCTCCGTTCTGAGATATTGCATCTGCTGACATAGTCTGTTCGACTTGTCTCCAGGTGTCCTGTTGTACTATGTATCTCTCTATGCATGTCAGAAATGGCGACATACTTGCCCATTTCATCTCCATTTATTCGATTCGCCAGCCGTTTCGTCGATGAATCATTTGGTGTCGCCGCCGGTTACAACTTCTTCTTCTTCCAGGCATCTCTAGGTAATGATTGAAACACCCCAAATCTAGGCATGCTCCATTGAACTCGAATATTGACCTTCTTTGTCTTAGTCCCGTACGAAATCACAGTGTGCAATCTCGTCATTCGTTATTGGACTGATGCTATTCCTGTCTGGGGCATATGTCTGATCTTCTTGACGCTGTACGCGCTCCTCAATTATTTCAATGTCTCCTTCTATGGCGAGGCCGAGTTTTGGCTATCTATCGGCAAGGTGATTCTTATCGTCGGGCTTATCTTCTACACCTTCATTGTCATGGTTGGTGGCAATCCCAAGCACGACGCTTTTGGCTTCCGTTATTGGAAGAACCCCGGCTCCTTTGCCACACTATACCGGGAGGGAGACACGGGTCGTTTCCTCGGATTTCTATACTGTCTGGTCCAAGCAGCTTTCGCCGTCGCGGGTCCGGAATACGTATCGATGTGTGCCGGCGAGGCTGAGAACCCGCGCAAGGTACTACCTAAGGCGTATAAGTCTATCTTCTGGCGGTTGACCACATTCTTCATGCTTGGTTCACTCGCTGTGGGCATCCTAGTCCCATACAACGATCAAAAGTTGATTGACTCTTACAAAGCTGGCGCGCATGGCGCTGCGGCCTCACCGTTCGTGCGATCCATGGATATGCTTGACATTCCAATCTTACCACACATTGTGAACTTCTTGATCTTAACCTCCGCATTCAGTGCGGGCAACAGCACACTGTACTGCGCGACCCGCAGTCTTTATGGTCTTGCACTAGAGGGCAAGGCACCTCGTGTGCTCGCAAACTGTAGTAAGGGCGGAGTACCTTATTGGTGCGTCACCGTTGTCTTTTGTATAAGCCAACTTGCCTGGCTGCAAGTCAGCCATTCGGCGAATGTCGTCTTGACCTGGTTTGTGTCCCTAGTAACCGCATCGCAGCTCATCAACTTCTGCGTCATCGCGTACACCTACACACGATTCAGAAAGGCGTGTGCGGCACAGGGAATCTCGAGCTCGCTCCCGTACAAGGCACCTTTTCAACCTATGGCAGCTTGGTTTGCGCTTTGCTGTTGCCTGGTCCTCACCCTCATTGGTGGCTGGACAATATTTATAGATGGAAACTTCGACGTGCCTGACTTCCTATTCCAATATATGATGGTCTTTGTATTCCCAGTCATCTTCGTCGGTTGGAAGATATGGCACAAGACGAAATGGCTTGCGCCTGCCGAGGTTGACCTGACCACGGATGTGCGAGCTATCGAGGAGTATACAGCGAATTATGCGCCTAATGCTTCGCGAACGAAGTTGGGCCGCCTGCTTGATAAAGCCTTCTTAGTTTAGCTTAGTGGCAATATAACGCTTGATCTCTTTCATACTTTTTCAGAGGTAGTATGTTAGCTATAGCTAATTGAATCTTGCAATTCCGCGTGCCGTGACATAATTCTCTCATTTGAGAATCATCAAAGTGTTCCGAGTTTCGATAACGTCTTATTAGTTTTTTTTTCCAGATGTCAGGTCAATTTATGTTATTGACAACATCCAATTTTTTCGATCAAGTACGTCTCTCCAGTCTAGCGTTTTGCCCGACCATCGGAGATGCCAAAGTTCTTCAAGGACCTCTAGCGCGGCAGCGACATTGTGAAAGTGCCTAAATTCGACCAGATCTTGCATTCTATGTCTGATAATGTCGACGAGTTCCGGATCGCTGGTCTCGCCACCTGCAAGGAATAATGGGAACAGAAGAGAGCTCTCTACAAGACACCTTCCAGGTAAGGTCTGTAGCTGGTCAATGATCTTCCTTACGGCCCCATCAACCTTGCGTCTGAGCAGGTCAAGGTCTGCTAAGCGGTGTCGACGTGCCACCCGCCAGAGGTGTAAAAGAGCAGCATTTTGGTACATTTCAGCCAGTTTTACCAAGTCGTCCGATTGGCTTGGACCTGAGGTCGAGCTTGATGAGTGAGATCCGCATTGCCATGAGAGGAGTTCTAATTCAAGATTCTCGAATTTCTGAACGAGCTCTGCTTGGTGAGCTGGAACATTATTGCTTTCGAGAATGTCGACATTCAATATACTCGTTTCGCAAACGAGATACATAACCTTGGAAGCGAGGCCAAACAGGCTATCGGGCGGCTCCTTTTCGTCGAAGAGCCAGTAGTGACCAGCTACAATCATTGGTCTCTTGTCCTCTGCGACCGTCGTCATGATATCGTGGTATGCAAAGCTCCGAAGCAACCATTTACCCTCGAAGGAGTTGAATGAACGAAGATCTAGTTTGCTTTGGCCTCCTTTGGAGGAACACACTGAACGAATAACTTGATGAGCACCCTGCACATGAGTGAACCATTGTCTGGTGTCGCCGGATATGCTCTCAAGAGCACAGTGGACGAGACAACAGGCAAGCTCAACTTCGGGTTGACGTTGGGCGGATGACAAGGAAGCGGTGAGAGACCTCAGAGCTGTCCCTCGGCACTGCAGTGCGAACGACTGATATGATTCATCGCGCAGAGCTAAATGGGTGGATGACCAGGCAAGAATTGCATCAAGAAAAGGAGGTGAGTCCATAGCTAGAGGAAGAAATACCGATAGGAAGCAGTTGTTTTCCAAATTAGTCGTAATCAAGGCGGCCAGTCCCTGTGTGTAGTACCGCAGGAAGAGCCTCCGCCGAGATCCCGAATCACCTGCCGTGCTACTGCCGCTTCCAACCCAGAAGTTCGCGATGTCAGGAACTCTGGTAGAGCACAGGCACGCCGCTTGTGCCTCGAGCAGTGCGCGTCGAGGCCGACCCGGTTTTCTGGGCCATCGGGGGTCGTCCCTGCGACAGACGTAGTTCAGACGACGACAGGCATCACACACTGGATAATTCTGATCGCATCGCTTCTTCCTGCATGCGCAAGGATTAGTTCTGCCTTTATCGCTCACAATCATCGCAGCTCTTAGCCCTGATGCACGTACCGATCCCTACATGTCAGACATCCGCTACGCTCGCGACGGCCGGTGGGTTTTGGAGGGCTTTGCCGCCTCTCGCCTACCTCCATCAAGGTCATGTTACTCGACGTTGATGCAGGCAATGTGGTATGGTAGTGAGAATGGGCTTATCAGTCTGGTCTGGTCGTGGGTAATCTTATCATACCAAGTGGAGATCGGCTCTTAGAATGTGAGCGCCAATTGATCTGCATTCTGAGTAGTTTGCTTCACCGCCTACCTAAATTAGATGCTAATTGAATGCCTTGGGGTCATAACGTCGAGGGTCCTGGTGAAGGCCGGCTGGCGTCAGTTGTCGTTCACCACTAAAGTTAGCCTTAGTAGCATAATATTCGTCAATATCGTTCTGATCGGGATATAATTCATGTAATCCTCGACTAGACATTGATTCGCCGACCATACAATCCTACAGGATTCCCATCACAGTGCCGCACGCTAGACCTCGGACTTCGTGTTACTGAATGATGCGTGAGACAGTGATCCTCCCGAGGGTTAATCCGTAGCGCGATCCGGTCGTGAGTGCTTACTTTGCGCGGCGCATAGCCCATTAATTATTTTACCATCGAGCTCAACCCTCACTTGACACTACGAATTACAATTTGGTCCGCTTCGAATTCACTGTCATGCCGCTGAAGATAGCCAGTCTCGGCAGTTCGTTTGCCGCAGGAACTGGCATCCCGCCGCAAATACATCGGTGGGCGATGCGATCCGGCGTCAATTATGCCCACCTTGTTGCTGATCGTATTGGCGCGCAGCTCACCGATCTGAGTGTCTCAGGCGCAACACTCCTCAATTTACTCAACGAGCCGCAGTCAATGCTTGGCCTCCATACCTTTCCGCCTCAAGTTTCCGAGCTACCAGCTGATACCGATGTGGTGCTGGTACTGGGTGGTGGAAATGACGTAGGCTATGTTTTGACTGTCATGCGCGAAAGTGTCGTCGCAACGTACTCCGTCCCGCGATGGATTCTCGGAGCTGCGCAGTGGGCCACGGGCGGAGGCGATCAGAAGCCAGACTGGCCGGACGTCAACGGTCTCGCGGCGCGGTACGGTACTGTGCTTGATGCAATTCATACACGTGCACCCAAAGCACAGGTCGTGGTCGTCGAATACTTGACCATTTTCGGACCCGATGATAACGCGAGCGGTATCGCTTTTGAGGCGGGAAGAGTAGAGCATCACAGAGAGGTCGCGGCAGTGGTTCAGCAGGCCACCGTGAAAGCCGTTCAAGGGCGGCAAGAGTGGTGCACAAGAATACCCGCAGCAAGCTTGAGCGAGGAACATGGTGTTGGTTCTCCAGAGCCTTGGGTTGCAGGGTTGGATTTATTGCGTTTATGGAAGTTCTCGGCATGGCATCCGAACGCGGAGGGCCACAAGGCAGTGGCCGAGATGATCTATCAGACACTCCTTGACAAAGGTCTCATTAGCGCCTAAGGAAGATCAAATACCTCGGGTTGAGCAAAACGCCGTTTAGGAAATCCAGATGACACGGCATCTGAACAAATCTACAGAGCGCGTTCAGTCAACACTCACCCGAGTACAGTACTTTGGGGCACTGAGAGGGAGCCGTTTTAGGTAAGCTAGGGACTCTGGACTGTCACATAGGTGAGTTAAGTAACATAGGTGCTTTTGGTTATAGTTATAAAGCTTTATACTTGTAAGTAAATATCAGGATCTAGGTCATAACAATCTTTAATTACGAACCCTTTTTAAGATGCAAGAGACTGATATCCTTCCATTATAATGAGCTTTAGGTCCAAAATTTTAACGAATAGTTAACGGCAAGGTCTAGGCTCTGGCCCATCACTAACCGCCGGGAACACCCTAAAGTTATACCCATGCCCTTAAGTGGGCCCAGAAGTGAGTTGTCAGCCATTTCTTTTGAAAAGTTTGCCGGGGATTCTTTCTTCTTTCAACCCTCCAAGGTCAAGCTTTCCAGTATTCATTTGTGCCTGTCCAATACAGTCACGATGCCCCCCAAGAAGGTTGAAGCTGTCAAGGACAATGTTGTTGCTTTTGGAAGGGTTCGCAAGAACTTGAAGATGGGATGCGTTGGTCTGCCTAACGTGGGCAAATCGAGCCTTTTCAATCTCTTGACCGAGCAGAGCGCCGCTGCAGAGAACTACCCCTTTTGTACAATTGAGCCCAATGAGGCGAGATGTGCGGTTCCCGACGCTCGATATGTAAGTCGAGATACTCTATAGAAAGGCCCCCAATGGGTGACTGAAATAGGCATTACTTGTAGGACTTTCTCTGTGACCTTTGGAAGCCGCCGTCCATGTACCCAGCGTATCTGCAGGTCACCGACATTGCCGGCCTGATCAAGGGGGCTTCCCAAGGAGAGGGACTTGGAAATGCCTTCTTGTCTCATATCCAAGCCGTTGATGGCATGTTCCACGTTGTCAGGTACAGAATCCAAGCTAAACTGTCGCACATTCACACTGACTCGGACCCTTTGATAGAGCATTCGATAACGATCAAGTTTTGCATGTCGACGACTCGATAGATCCAGTCCGGGACTTAGGTTAGTTCAGCTCATTCTATCAAGCTGACGCAACTAATTGTGGTATCTTCTAGATACCATCCAAAGCGAACTTTGCAAGAAGGATCTCGGTTTGCATTGCCCTCTGAACCGGCTTGACATCAGCTAACCCTCCCGTTCTAGACATTCTGCAGAAAACAATAATCGCAGAGGAAGCAATCGTCAGAAAGGCAGGTGGCAAGTACAAGATGCTACCTCTTTTCACAGAAACAACGACAAAGATCCGAGCAGTGAGCGCATAATTTCCAGTCTCATAGGTCCAAACATTTTAAATATGCTCACAACCGTGAGATAGATGCTGGAGAAGGATCAGCCAGTCAGAGACGGAAGCTGGACACCCGCGGAGATTGCGCTCATCAGCGAGAAGATACAGCTAATCACCACCAAGCCAACCATCTACCTCGTCAACTTGACAATGAAGGACTATCTCAGACAGAAGAGCAAGTACCTGCCGCTCATAGCTAAGTGGGTTACCGAGCACGGAGGCATTCCCCAAGACATTATCCCTTTCTCTATCGAGTTTGAAGAGAAGCTCCACAGCATGAAAAACGATCCGGCTGCACAGGCCGAGTTTCTCAAGGAGAGCAAGGTCAAGTCAAGGCTGGACAAGATTATCACTGAAGGATTCACAAAGCTCGGCCTGCAATACTACTTCACCGGTCTGCTCACACATTGCCACCGCTAGGTTCCACGCTGACTTTCACGTAGCTGGTGAGAAAGAAATCAGATGCTGGACTATTCCAAGAGGGTGCCTAGCACCACAAGCTGCTGGAGCTATCCATAGCGATTTTGAGAGGGGATTCATCAAAGCTGAAGTGGTCGCTTACCAAGACTTCCATGACCTCTGTGAAGGCGGCAAGTCCATGGGTCCAATCAAGGCTGCTGGGAAATACCGACTAGAAGGAAAGTCCTATGTAGGCACTCGGAATCCTCCTGATGCTGCATCAGCTGACCTTATTTTCTCCCAGATTGTCCAAGACGGAGATATCATTCACTTCCAATTCAGTATGTGAAAAGCCATCATCAATACTGCACTTTTGCTAGTAGGAGAGTGCTGACTATCTGTCTCAGATGTTTCAAATAAGAAATAGATTTATCTTTTCGAGGCCGGCGAAGTTCGGATAGCGGGCAGTTTCAACAACTGGGCCATTCAGCATCGGATATGTTGACCACAGACTCCCTGACCCTTCACCAGGACCACGAACCGTTCTATATCATAGTCCTGCCTTGAAGACTGTTTCTTTTTGGCTTGAATTTTCCGACCTCTGTTCCTTCAGTCTTGAGGTACTGCTAGTATCGTTTATGTAATTTGCTGTCTATTAATGAAAGACCAAATAGGATCCTCATATCAGTACAAGACAATTCTGTTCTTTTGAGCAGCTCGGGCGAAACGGATTTATTTCCAAGGTTATAGTTATCGCTGGACTCATGTCTCGGAAAGTAAAATCATGGAACTTCTCGACGCTCCTCGACAGTTAGGTCATGACGGCTAGCAATAGATCAGCATAACCAACCACCTATGAGTACGGCAAGCTGAGTGTAGTTATTCCTGATCCTGAAAAGGATGCCCGGAAGAATATTCTGAGCCCACTCATCCGGGGCGGGTTAGTGCGTGCCCCCTGTTACCGAGTTTAGATAGTCTAAACCCCAGGATTATGTACCCTAGCCTAGATCATGACAAGTTGCTGGATAGGATACTTTCGGAATATGTCCACTTGGCATACACGAAAGAGGCTCGGCTATGGATGGCGCAACTTTTTATATGTGTCTAGTCTACCTAAGGGGGTGAGGGGGTTTTACCTCCAGTATTGTACTAGCCTGTTGGGACTGTTCACAGTGACTAGGCTTAGGCACGGCCCTGGCACCACACTGGTCCACAGGTGGTAAGATTTCAGAGTACGTAGGTAGGTTTTCAATATCCTTACTTGCAACTAATAAAGCTTTCAGACTGAAATTGATGAGATTAGGAAATAGATTCTCTCTAAAATTGATTATCTCTAAGGAAAGAGTAGAGTAAGCTTGTGGTAAAGCTATTTAAATTGTAAATTGTCGAGAGTATCTTCCTTGAGAGAATTCATAGTGTTGATTACGAATCTGGAAAGTACTATTTCAGATCAGTTGGCTCTCACACTCTACTGCAAGCGCAAGGACAGGGCGGATAAGACTGTCTTTAGCATTTCAGTAGCCCCCCCCCCCCCCCCCCCC